TTACCAGGTGTTGAAATGGCCATGATCTTCGTTTTCCTCCATAGTCTGGGAATCTGTTTGCGTGCCAAGCATTGATCGTAGAATTTCAAAAACCAGCTTTGGGTCCCAAGTGTTTGATTTGCTCCATCATTGCGTCATCTAGGCCAGGTGCTTTACCAGTTTTACATCGCTTAATAACTTCTCTGAGTTCTTTCAGGTTTAGGGAAGATGACAATTGGTGGGTTTCATGTGTGCTTTCCACCTACAGAAATTCACCTCACCTCACTCCCTCTGAGGATGCTTGCCATAGATGCAGATGAAATGTCAGGAGAGAATGCCTCTAGAACATGGCCATATAGCCCGAAAAAAACCTACAGCCCAAACAGGAAATTGAAAGTTACCTGGGAAGGCCAAGAGCTCGGACACTGTTCCCATCCTAAATATCTTGGCATCACCTTAGATAGAACACAAACATTTTGGAAACACTGTATGAACACCAAGTACAGAGTCGCTGCACGCATGGGGTAAAAGGTAAAGGTAAAGGTAGTTCCCTGCCATTAAGTCCAGTCATGTCTGACTCTGGGGTGTGGTGCTCATCTCCATTTCTAAGCCGAAGAGCCAGCGTTGTCCGTAGACACCTCCAAGGTCATGTGGCCAGCATGACTGCATGGAGCGCCGTTACCTTCCCGCCGGAGCGGTATGTCTATTGATCTACTCACATTTGCATGTTTTCGAACTGCTAGGTTGGCAGAAGCTAGGGCTGACAGCGGAAGCTCACGCCGCTCCCCGGAATCGAACCTGCGACCTTTCGATCAACAAGCTCAGTACTTTAACCCACTGTGCCACCAGGGGCTCCGCACGCATGGGGAGCAGACCCAAAATGAGTAAGAATACCAGCCCTGGCCTTGTCTGACTCAACTGCTGAGTATGTCTGCACTGTTTGGTTAAGTGTCTGTCCACACAAAGCAGGTGAACATAGCATTGGATGAAACATGCAGAATAATAACAGGGTGTCTTCAACCTACACCTGTAAATCTATAAATCCCAGCTGGCATCCCCCCTACACACACACACACAGTGTGCAAAGTTGGTGCTAACTGTGAGAGAAATAAGGCTGAACCCTCTGAAAGCAACCCACTGGATGGCTGTCAGCCTCCTCCCAGTAGACCAGTGTTTCTCAACCTGGGGGTTGGGACCCCTTGGGGGGTCGCGAGGGGGTGTCAGAGGGGTCACCAAAGACCATCAGAAAATAGTATTTTTTGTGTGGGAAGTTTGGCCCAAATCTCTCATTGGTGGGGTTCAGAATGTGCTTTGATTCTAGTTGAACTATAAATCCCAGCAATTACAACTCTCAAATGTCAAGGTCTACTTCCCCCAAACTCCATTCGTGTTCATATTTGAACATATTGAGTATTCGTGCCAAGTTTGGTCCAGATCTATCATTGTTTGAGTCCACAGTGCTCTCTGGATGTAGGTGAACTACAACTCCAAAACTCAAGGTCAATGCCCACCAAACCCTTCCTGTATTTTCTGTTGGTCATGGGAGTTCTGTGTGCCAAGTTTGGTTCAATTCCATCGTTGGTGGAGTTCAGAATGCTCTTTGATTGTAGGTGAACTATAAATCCCAGAAACTAGCTCCCAAATTACAGTATCAATCTGCCCCCACCCCCAACACCACCAGTATTCAAATTTGGGTGTATCGGGTATTTGTGAGTCTAGTGAATACATCCTGCATATCGGATATTTACATTATGAGTCATAACAGTAGCAAATCTACAGCCATGAAGTAGCAACAAAAATAATGTTATGGTTGGGGGGTCACCACCACACGAGGAACTGTATTCAGGGGTCGTGGCGTTTGGAAGGTCGAGAACCACTGCAGTAGACACAAATCAAAGAAATGCTTCATGAGAACCACCACTCCTCTAAATGTTCCCCAACAACTGCAAGAGCATCCCTCTGGGCAGCTAAACCGGGGAACCCCAATTGAATGGCCCCCCACGAGGGTCTGACTCCAGGGGCAAACCAAGAAGGGGCAACTGGGAAGTCTCTGAACAGACTCAAACGGGGAGAGATCAAAAGACAACCTGGAAAAATGGCACTACCTAAAAGAATCAATGTCCAGAATCAGCAGCATCACCACGATCCTTGCTGTTGCTGGGGGGGCGCCAAGAGGAGTGGTCGTTCTCATAAAGCTTTTCCCTCTATGTGAGTCTCCTGGGAGGAAGCTAGTAGCCATGGAGTGGGGGGCTTTCAGTGTTCAACCTTATTCCTCTCACATTTAGCAGCAACTTCCCATCGCACATAGGGCGGGGGGCAATGCCAGCTAGCTTGTAGAGTTTATCAACAGGTGTAGGTTTAAGACATCCTGTGATTATTCTGCATGTTTCATTCAACGCTATGTTCACCTTCTTTGCTAACTATTGTAGTGGGTGGCTTTCATGGGTTAAACCTCTGTGCCGGCAGGATTGAAGACCGACAGGTCGCAGGTCCGAATCCAGGGAGAGGCGGATGAGCTCCCTCTATCAGCTCCAGCTCCTCATACGGGGACATGAGAGAAGCCTCCCACAAGGATGATAAAAACATCAAATCATCCGGGCGTCCCCTGGGCAACGTCCTTGCAGACGGCCAATTCTCTCACACCAGTAGCGACTTGCAGTTTCTCAGGTCGCTCTTGACACGGCCAAGCCTTATTTCTCACATTTAGCAGCAATTTCCCATCGCACATTAGGTTAGGAGGGCAATACCAGCTAGCTTGTAGAGTTTATCAACAGGTGTAGGTTTAAGACATCCTGTGATTATTCTGCATGTTTCATTCAACGCTATGTTTACCTCCTGTGCGTGGGCAGACTTATGCCAAACAGGGCAGGCATACTCAGCAGGCGAGTCAGACAAGGCCAGGGCTGATGTTCTTATTAATTTTGGGTCTGCACCCCATGTGCTGCCAGTAAGTTCTGTAGGATGTTATTACATGCAGCTCCTTTGTGCTTGGTGTTCAAGCAGTGTTTCCTATATGCTAGTGTTTGATCTAAGGTGACACCGAGATATTTAGGATGGAAACAGTGTTCAAGCTCTTGACCTTCCCAGGTGACTGTCAATTTCCTGTTGGCTTTACGGTTGCGTAGGTGGAAAGCACACGCTTGTATCTTGGCAGAGTTAGGCTTCAGGTGGTTATCTTTGAAGACGGGCTCAAAGCCAACCTCAAAAACTCTGGCATAGACACCGAGATCTGGGAAGCCCTGGCCCTTGAATGCTCCAGCTGGGCGTCAGCTGTGACCAGCAGTGGTGCAGAATTTGAAGAGGCACAAGTGGAGGGCGAAAGAGAGAAACGTGCCAAGAGGAAGGCGCATCTAGCCAACCCCGACCGGGACTGCCTTCCACCTGGAAACCAATGTCCTCACTGTGAGAGAAGATGCAGGTCCACAGTCATGTACGGACCCACCAGCACACTGGTCTTGGAAGACTACCCTACTCGGACAATGAGGGATTGCCTAAGTAAGTACTGTGAGATTGGGGCTGTGAACGGGGTTGGCTTAAAACATCCCAACCAAGTGAAGTCAAACACTCTTGTGTTGCATGAGCAGTGTCATGAAGGAGATGGATTCCAGCCGTCAGCTTCCCACTACGTTATTTTTGGATGGCTCTGCGAAGTTTCTGCATGGTCTCACAATATATTCTGTACCCATTTTGTCACGTGCTGTCTTGACATTGTGTCCTCTCCATAAACTGAAACGATTTTGCAGTGAATTGCAGTGGTGTTCATGCCCTTCGCACAAACTTTGCACTTGGAGGGAAACAGAATGAGGACGCTCATCTCGAACCTTCATCACAAGGCCAGTCGATGAGCTACTGACGACTGGCACTGCTCGTTTGTTTCCTCTGGCTTCCCGCTACACGGCAGTGATACCAACTTCTCCCAAGAAAATTCCCCATGAGATAGAGCTACACGCCTTGTAACCTTACTTTCCAGATATCCCTCATACAGCACGAACTTTGCACTTGGAGGGAAACAGAACGAGGACGCTCATCTCGAATCTTCACCACAAGGCCAGTCGATGAGCTACTGACGACTGGCACTGCTCGTTTGTTTCCTCTGGCTTCCCGCTACACGGCAGTGATACCAACTTCTCCCAAGAAAATTCCCCATGAGATAGAGCTACACGCCTTGTAACCTTACTTTCCAGATATCCCTCATACAGCACGAACTTTGCACTTGGAGGGAAACTGAATGAGGATGCTCATCTCAAAACTTCACCATAATAAGGCCAGTCGATGAGCTACTGACGACTGGCACTGCTCGTTCGCTTCCACTGGCTTCCCTCTACACAGCAGTGATACCAACTTCCCCCGAGAAAATTCCCCATGAGAGAAAGCTACACGCCTTGTTGCCTTACTTTGCAGCCAGGGAACCCTCCCCCAATTTGAGCGGAAGTGTGGCTCACAAGATGGAGGCAACCGCAAGGCCCTCGGGCTGCTCTCCCTTGACGAGACGCACACTCAACGCTCTCCGCTTTTCCCTCTGCGCCCGGTTCAGAGACGCCGTCGTCACTGGCCTTGTATAACATTTTCCTTTTATTTACATGTTAAAGAACCAGAAGTTTTTAACATACGGCAAAGAGGAACAAGAGTCCTTGAAGGCAGACCAGGGCAAGGAGGGGGGACGACGACTAAAAGGAACCATAGAAAAAAAATATATACAGTCCAAACAATAACAATAAAAAAGAACATCCACACTTCCTCTGGCCTCCCCCCTCCCCTTTGAGGGGCCCATCCATTGACACAGGGAGGCATCAGGGAGAGGCCACGGAGGGGAAAGGAGGGGGGGGGGGGAAGAGAAAATAAATAAAAGCAGGAGGGGGGGGGGGAGGGCAAGTCCTCAAGTCTGGTGTGAGCCTGGTGCTCAGGGCTCTGAGTCCAACCATGGGGGGGGGGGCGGGGGGGGCACACAGGGATTGCCCCCTTGGGAAGAAGGTGGGGGGGGGGGAGGGAAGGAAAGCCACAAAACCAAAACTTGTTCAACGTCTTATAAAAACCACAATTTTTTTCTTTTTTTTTTCTTTTTGAGAACCAAACGAAACAGTAAAACACAGCCTCTCCCTCCCCCCTCCCTCTCCAACACTGGAGCCAACTGTACAGTGTGAGAGTCCTCCCCCCAAGCGAGGCCGACCAGTGGGGAGCGAGCCCAGGGTCCAAGGGGGAGGGTCCAAGGGGGCCCCTCCCTCCCTCCGCAGCTGCCCCGCCGTCCACCCCTCTCTGCTCTGCTTCCACTTCGGGTCCCGCAGGTGGAGGAGGGAGGCGCTCACGCCCAAACATGCTGCCCATTTGCCAGCCATGCGGCTCTCTCTGGCCATCCGACTGTCCGTCCATCCATCCTTCTGTCCATCCACCCCTACGGGCCTAGCTGGAGTCTGAGTCGCTTGTGTCCGAGGAGGAGGAAGAGGAGGAGGAGGAGCTGGAGCTGCTGGAGTCCGAGCTGGAGCTGCTGGCACTCAGGCGGGAGACCGGCACCGGGTGGGCCGACTCGGGCTTCTCACTCACTGCGGGAGGGAGGGAGGGAAAGAAGGGGGAGCGAAGGACGGAGGACCGTCAGCAGAAGGCCGAGGACAGCACCCCCACCCACCCCAAAGGGCCTCTTCCCCCTCCACAAGAGAGAGCGGGGCCAACACAAACAATCACAATGACTCTCTGGAAGGGCTCCCAAGAGAGGCCAAGAGTCCCTCTAAGGAGCGGGCAAGGGAGCGACCCTGGCTGAGAGCCAGGTTTACATCTTTGGGAGGGTGCCAGGAGTGCTGCAGAGACTGGGACACAATGCATTCACACGGCAGGAAAAGGCATTCCACCTCACCATGAGGGAGGAACTTCCCAATGGTAAGTGAAGGGAAGCTGCCCAAAGTGCCCCCCCTCAGAGGGTGTTGGGAGGGCCTTTGCCTTGTGCCCTCCTGCCTGGCATAGGGGGCTGGGCTGGGCTGGACAGCTATGAGCCTGGGGAGGGGTCCCGGAGTCACTCACCCTTCTTAGGGGGCTTCTTGGCGGAGTTGAGCTGCCCGCTGACGTCCTGGAGGCGCTTCTCCAGCTCCCGCTTCTTCTCCAGGGCCAGCTCCTCCTTCGTCTTGCCCACCGGCTTCTTCAGGGCTGCAGGCGAGGGAAGGAGGGAGAGAGGGAGGGTCAGGGCTCTGCTCGTCTGCCCCAAGCCTCCTTCCTTCCTTCCACATTTCCCTCTCCACAAAAGACACACCCCCCCCCCCCCCCCCAGCCTGGCCAAAGAGGGACACAAACCTCCCCATCCCACTTCTTAACAAGGAAAGGTTCCTGCTGAAAAAACATTGCACTTAAAGAGCTCAAAATGTGGGCGTGTTTACAAAAAAAGTATGATCCCCAGCAACTCCCTATAATACATATATAGCAGGTTCTATATAAATAAAAATGTAAGGTTGGTTTGTGGGATTAACATAACTCAAAAACCACTAGACACCAAATTTGGACACAAGACACCGACTGATCAGGCCAACGCGTGTCCATCACTCATAAAAACACTGAAAAACACAGCAGGAGAGACTTAAAAAGCAAAAAAAAAAAACCCCACCATTACAACACATGCGCAAAACCACATATATACACAAACACACATTTACAAATATATATACACACAAAACACATATACACAGAAAACGGGAAGGAAGGAAGTAAGGAAGGAGGGAAGGAGGAATTGAAAGAAGGAGGGAAGGAGAGAAGGGAAGGTAGTGAAGGAAGGAAGGTGAGAAAGAAATAAAAAAGTGAAAGAAGGAAGGAAAGAGAAAGGGAAGGAAGGAGAGAAGGAACAAAAGAGAGAAAGAAGGAGGGAAAAGAAAGAAGGAAGGAAAGAGAGAAGGAAGGAAAAGAAGCAAAAGGGAGAAAGAAAGGTAGGAAAGAAAGACAAAAGGGAGGAAGAGAGGAAAGAGAAAGAAGAAGGAAGAAGGAAGGAAGGAAGGAAGGAAGGAAGGAAGGAAGGAAGGAAAGGAGGGAAGGTTTGGCCACAGTCACTCATAAAAACACTGAAAAACACAGTGGAAGAGACTTCAAAAAGCCAAAAAAAAACCCCCAAACATTACAACGCATGCGCATAACCACATAAATACACACATATATATGCACACAAAACACATATACACAGACTGGCCACAGCAACGTGTGGCAGGGGACAGCTAGTAAAACATAAACGTCGCGTCTCCCAGAGATCCCTATGCCTTCCCTCTGCTCCATTCTTCTCGGAGAGAGAAAACCTCCTCCTAGAAAGTTTCAAAAGTAAGTGTGTCATTCTACACCGGGCATAGGCAAACTTGGCCCTCCAGGTGTTTTAGACTTCAACTCCCACAATTCCTAACAGCTATTGGCTGTTAGGAATTGTGGGAGTTGAAGTCCAAAACACCTGGAGGATCAAAGTTGTCATTGAAACGTAGAAGACTGATGAGACACAAACTATCAGCTAGGAGAGAGGTTTGTCATTTAGTCTTTGAGCTTATTTCTAGGTGTTTTTCCACACAGCCCTCTCACCCAGAAGATCCAGGCAGAAAACTCCGCAATACCTGCTTTGAACCGGGTTAAGGGAGTCCACCATGCCATATCACCCAGTTCAAAGCAGATCATGCAAGGCTGGGAGGCAATTGGGACTCTTCAGGGCTGGGCAACCCTTGGCCTCCCCGTAAAAGCCTGATCCGGAAGGAACCGGGAGTCAGGCTTCCCATGCTGGAGGTGAAGGAGCATTGACACTTGTCTCGAGAGCCCAATTTGGGGACAGAGGAGGTCCTATGGGCCTCTCTTTCTTAGACCTATGTAACTCAAGGGGTTTTGCTTCCTGTCTACATGATCCCGTGACTTCCCCCTCCTTCTCAAAAGTCTGACTTCTGTTTCAGGAGGGACCCCCCCCCCCCCCGGGGTCTCAGGACACCCAGGAACATGAGAGCTACCAAAGGGAGGCAGCTTCCTTGTATTCATGTCTTCCTTCCTCTGAGAGGCAACAGGAAAAGGCAGGCCCTACCAAAGTGCCACCCTGCGTATTTCCTCTCTCGAAGCTCATGGGTGGAGGAGGAGCAGGCCAATGGCTCCCCTTGGGGTCCTGCCCTCCGCCCCTCCCTGGCTGCCTTCCCTCCGTGCCCGGCTCACCCTCGCTGCTGTAGGGCTTGCGGGGCTTCTTGCGCAGGCAGGAGAGGACGTAGCGCTCCAGCTCCCGCAGGGTGGAGGGCTTGAGGGTCTCAAAGTCGATCTCGATCTCCTCGGGGTTGGAGTCGCGCAGGGAGGGCTCCCGGGACTGGATGATGTGCACCACGCGCCCCAGCTTCTCCCCCGGCAGCTTGTTGATGTCCAGGCTCAGCTGGCGCTTCTCGTCGTAGCTCATGGGCCGGCTCTCCTCCTCCTCCTCCGAGTCGTAGAGGGGCATCATCATCGGGGGCGGGGGCGGAGGGACTGGGGCCGGGGCCAGGGTGCCCTTGGAGCCCCCCGCCTTCTTGGTGTTCCTGGGGAAGGAAGAGGAGGGGCCAAGGCCACGGTTGAGCGAGGGGCAGGCAAGATGGCTCCTTTGCAAAAGGAGGGAAAGACTCCTCTCCTGGCCAAGCCACCCACGCAAGACCCTTCTTCTCTCCCTCACACACTCACTTGCTGCCGCCGCCGCCTCCCCCTCCTCCAGAGGCCTTCTTGGACTTCTTGGGCGGGAGGGACCGGGGCTCCCCCTCCCCGGCTTTGCCCTTGCGCTGCTTCTCCAAAGAGGAGGAGGACTTCTTCTTCTTCTTGCGGTCCCTCTTGTCCCGCCGCTTCTTGGGCTTCGAGACCGGGCCCTGGGAGAGCGCCGCCAGCTGCTCGTGCACCGCCCGCAGCTGAAAGCAGAAGGCCACAGGCTTGGGAGGGACCCTCAAAGGCCACCCAGCCCAGCCCCAAGAAGAAAGACACCCCTCCAGACGCCAACAAGGAAGCCTATCCCACAATTGGACAGCTCTCACCACCTAACACGCAGGTGGAATCTCTTCCTGGGCTTGGAACGCAATGCTCCATTGGATTCCAATCTCCAGAGCAGATTCCCCTTCTTCCCAATGGGACAGCCTCAGATCCTCAAACATGGCCCTCATGTCCTCCCCTCTCACCCTTCCTTCCAAACTAAACATCCCTTGCTCCCTAAGCCACTCCTCAGAGGGATTTGTGGTTTCCACACTGTTATTCCAGGTGAGGAAGTCTCACCCAAGCAGAAGAGAGCGGGATTTATTCCATCCCTAGGGATAAGACTCCTATAGATGGAGCCTAGATGCACTTTGGCCCAGCTAGCCCTCTTGGCTCATCCTCAGTTTGGGGTCCCCTCAGAGTCCTAGATCCCTTTCACATGGGCTGCTTTCAAGCCAGGCCCCACCCTCCCTATCTCTGCACATTGCATTTTTCTTCCCTAAGAGCCATACTGTCCATTTCTCCCTGAGGAAATTCATTTTGTGAGGAGGGGCTTCTCCTAACCCCTTCCCCAAGCCAAGCGTCCCCTCCACACCTGCTCCTGGAGCTCTGCCAGGCGGTTGGCCCGCTCCTCCTCCGAGTCTGAACTCTCGTCGCTGTCGGAGGAGGTCTCGCTGCTGCTTTCATCGTCGTCGTCGTCGTCATCCTCCTCCTCGTCTTCATCTTCCCCATCCTCATCCTCCTCCTCACTGGAGGAGTCATCCGAGGAGGACTTCATCAGGAGCCCCGGCTGTGGGAGGGACCCCGAGGGAGGGCTGCGCTCGATAGGCTCGTCGGGCATCTTGGCATAGCTGAACTCAAAGACGTCCTGCAGGAAGGAAAGAGGGACCCCAGGGTCAGTGATGCTGTGGGGCCACAAAGGAGGGAGGGAGAGAGGGAGGTGGTGCTCCTCCGCCCACATTGGGGCCCCCTTCCTCCTCTGCCCACCTGCAGCTTGCGAGCCATGGCCACCACGTCATGGTCTGGCGGGTTGTACTTGTAGCAGTTGGAGAACATCAGCCTGACGTCAGAGGCAAACTCCTGTGCGTCGCGGTAATCCCGGTTCTCCATCTTGCGCTGAGGGGGGAAAGACCGGAGGCTCAGGAACCGAGCTCACAAACACGCAAGGACTCAACTGTCAGATTTAGTCTCGAAAATTTCCGAAGCCGCCTGCGCAAGCGCAGGAATAAACCATATGTGCAATTCACAGCTGACCACGACGGGAAAGTATATAGTTATATACTAGGAGCTCCCGGCGGCACAATGGGTTAAACCCTTGTGCCAGCAGGACTGAAGACCAACAGGTCAGCAGTTCAAATCAAGGGGAACAGGTTGAGCTTCCTGTCAGCTCCAGCTCCCCATTGGGGGTGGGGGAGAGTGAAGGGAAAGCTTGCCGAGGGAAAGCTTGCATTATGACCTCCAGGCATTCTCATGGGGGCTATAGGATTTATGTCCTTGTTGTTTTAAATTCTGTTTCACCTTTGAGACCACCTTTATATCTATATATTAAATTTGAAACGAGGTTTTTTTAGGTGGAAGCAAGAAAAAGGTGCTACTTAAACCTTTCCCAACATATTAGAGGTCAGCCTTGCTTATAAGCCCCTATTTAGGCAGTTTTTGCTTTCTCTTTTGTCTCAATAGGCCAGTGGCAATTTTGAGGTCAAGTCATATGTTTGCTTTGAGCTGAGATTTAAAAGAACTCCAAGATCAGATCGATACTTTGGGAAAGTGCAATGAGAGAATGGTGTTCTGAGGTGGCTTTTAAACAAATAATTTTAAAGTGGATCTAAGTGATTGTAATGTTTGCATAAATTTATGATTTTAAGTCCTGGCACTGGATGTTTGCTGTATATATGTTGTGCTCTGCCCCGAGTCAGGATGAGAAGGGCAGAATAGAAATGTTTCAAATGAAATTTAAAAAAATCAAACATCCGGGCAACGCCACCTGGGCAATATCCTTGCAGACAGCCAATTCTCTCACACCAGAAGCGACTTGTAGTTTCTCAAATCCCTCCAGAGATGGAAAATATATATATTATAATATCCAGAAGGACATTGATCAGCCAGATCATATTTGAGAGGAGGGTGAGCAACAAATCAAAGGCATGGAATCCAGGAATCCCTGTGAGGAGAGCCGTGCTTAATTATCTGAAAGGATGCCCCATTGAGGAGGCACAAGAAAGGCTTGTTTCTCCTGTTCCAGAGAATGGACCCACTGGAGTCATGGAGTTGGGCTCAGGGAAAGAGATGCTGTGTCAACACTAAGAACTTCTGAGGGTCAGACCTGCTCAATAAGGGGAATAGGAGAACCCAACCCAGACTTCCAAGCCTGGCCCATATGAGGCCGCATGCAACGTGAAGGGATGCAGCTGCCTTTGAAGGAATGCTATTGTGAGGAAGATGGAAAGCGCTTGTTTTCTGTGGCTCCAGAGCTGATTGGGAGGGCAGTAACCAAGGGATTCAGATGGCAAGGGAAAGGAATCTGCGTTCCCTCATCTCTCTTGGAAAACCCTATACCAGTTATATCCTACGTGTTCATGCCCAGAGTTTGTTTTTTAATTTTTAATTTTAAACTTTTACATTTGGCCTGGCCATAGGTTTTAATCTTTGTGTGTTATTGTTTATTGGTTATTGTTTATATGGGATTTATTTTAATTGTATTGTATTTATCGTTTTTTTGTTTATTGCTTTTGTTTATTGATGTACTCTTGGTCTTGGTCTCATGTAAACCACTCTGAGCCCCTTGGGGAGATGGTGGCGGGGTATAAATAAAGTTGTTTTATTATTATTATTATTATTATTATTATTATTATCATCATCATCTACCCAAACAGCTCTGCCCTCTTTAGAGGCCTATAAGAAGAGGCTAGATGACCATCTGTTGAGACACTGGTTGTGTGTTCCTGCTTGGCGGAAAGGGGATGGACTAGATGGCCCTTGGGGTACTTTCCCATCATGGTAGAATAAACAGAATTCATTCTGAAGTGATTCATGTAATTTTAAAAAAAACCTTGGCTACGGCAATTCCACAAACCAATGGGATCACAACAGAGATTCTTTCCAACACAAGGGAAAAAAACTCTGGACTGGGCAGCCTCTGAGTCTAACATACTCTCCTACGTGTTATCGAAGGCTTTCATCAATGGGTTGCTGTGAGTTTTCTGGGCTGTCTGGCCATGTTCCAGAAGCATTGTCTCCTGGCATTTCGTCAGCATCTCTGGCAGGCATCCTCAGAGATTGTGAGGTCTGTTGGAAACTAGGCAAATGGGGTTTATATATTGGTGGAATGATGTCCAGGGTGGAAGAAAGAACTCTTGCCTGCTTGAGGCAAGTGTGAATGCTGCAGTTGATCATCTTGATTAGAAGGCCATTAAATGCTAATCAAGGTGATCAATTGCAACATTTACACTTGCCTCCAACACACTTTTCCCCACCCTGCCTGACTTTCCTGAGATGTATAAACCCCACTTGTCTAGTTTCCAAGAGACCTCACAATCTCTGAGGATGCCAGCCATAGATGTGGGCAAAACGTCAGGAGAGAATGCTTCTGGAACACGGCCAGACAGCCCAGAAAAAGCACAGCAACCCAGGCTCTCCTATTTCCAAGATCTTTAAACAGAGATTGGAGGAGCAGCTCAGGAGTGCTGCCATTGTGCAAAACAGTCATTGGGGTCCCATTCAGCTACTGATGTAACTGTAGTATTTATTGGTATCCAATTTTTTCCAAAACTGGGAATTCAAAGCATTGCACCATGTAAAACAATATGAATTCTAACACACACAAATGACCAATGAAATAGAATTAACTCTACAGTATTTATATACTGTATAATTAACTCTACAGTATTTATATACCGCTTTTCTCACCCCTATATATACAGTATATAAATATTGTAAATAAATAAACATTATAGTGTTTCTCAAACTGTGCTCTTCTGGTGTTTTGCAACTTCAGCTCCCATAAATCCCAGCCAGCTAACCAGTTGCTAGGAATTGTGGGGAAGTCCAAAACATCTGGAGGAGCACAGTTTGAGAAACTCTGACAGATTATTGAAACACTTGGTGACCAAATGAAAACAACACGATCCCATTAAAAAGTTAAAAACAGTTCACTTCAAACAGCACAGCGCCCCCTCGTGCTTCCTTCAAAAACTTTGGCAGAGGGCTTCAGGGGAAGGGCCCAATTAATGCCTTTTAAAAATTCAGCCAATAAAGCTTTCCTCAGCAAGCCTGGCAGCCACACACACAGCACACCCACTCATCAACCAGGATTACTAAACTCCTAGGGATGCAATCCAGAATCATATGCAGCAGCAAAAATGGCCAATACAATTTTGGACTGCATCAGAGGGACTCCAGGATCAGGCATGGGCAAACTTGGGCCCTCCAGGTGTTTTGGACTTCAACTCCCACAATTCCCCTGAAGACGCAGGTTCGCAGCTTGGGTGTGACCCTGGACTCATCGCTGAGCCTGGAACCCCAGGTTTCGGCGGTGACCAGGGGAGCATTTGCACAGCTAAAGCTTGTGCGCCAGCTGCGCCCGTACCTTGGGAAGTCTGACTTGGCCACGGTAGTCCACGCTCTGGTTACATCCCGTTTAGACTACTGCAACGCTCTCTACGTGGGGTTGCCTTTGAAGACAGCTCGAAAGCTCCAACTAGTCCAACGCTCGGCAGCCATGATTTTAACAGGAGCGGAGCGCAGGGAGCATACAACCCCCCTGTTGCGCCAACTCCACTGGCTACCGATCTGCTACCGGGCTGAATTCAAAGTGCTGGCGTTGGCCTTTAAAGCCCTAAACGGTTCCGGCCCAAGCTACCTATCCGACCGCATCTCTGCCTATGAACCCACCAGGAGTTTGAGATCTTCCGGGGAGACCCTGCTCTCGATCCCGCCTGCTTCTCAAGCTCGGCTGGCGGGACGAGAGATAGGGCCTTCTCGGTGGTGGCTCCTCGGCTGTGGAACGCCCTTCCTACGGACATTAGACTAGCACCATCTCTAATGTTATTCCGCAAAAAGGTGAAGACCTGGATGTTTGTGCAGGCGTTTGAGTAATTTAGTGCAATCTGGTAATGGAACATAGGAATGGAACAATGGACGACGAACCTGGACTACGCTTGGATGATGAGAAGATTGGGTACGGTTGTTTTTCGTAATAATTGTGCATTGTAATTGCTTATTGGTAATTTATGGATAATGTGTTAAGTCAATTGTTATATGTTGTATGGAACCACTGCTGTTTCTACTGTTTTTACTGTTTGTGAACCGCTGTGAGTCGCCTTCGGGCTTGAGATACAGCGGTATATAAGCAAAGTAAATAAATAAATAATAAATAATAATATTAGGAATTGTGGGAGTTGGAGTCCAAAACACCAGGAGGGAGGGTGAAGTGGGCCCAGGCCTGATCTAGATCAAAGGAAGCCATAATCCCACTGTCCAGTTCTGGGCAACAAAACTCAAAATATGGATACGGACTTTCAATGGGAACTTTTTCAGAGAAGGACCACCAAAATGGTCAAAGTTCTGGAAACCCTGAATCCCTCTGAGGAGTGGCTTAAAGAGCTGGGACTGTTCAGCTTGGAGAAGAGAGAACCATGAGCTGGGTGGCCATCTGTCAGGGGTGCTTTGAATGCAATATTCCTGCTTCTTGGCAGGGGGTTGGACTGGATGGCCCATGAGGTCTCTTCCAATTCTATGATTCTATGGATGAACCCTTGAACAGAGGGAGGACAGACAGTGAGGGAGGGTAAGCTTATCGTCTGCCACTGTACAGACTGGGATGCAATGGGTTTAAATGGCAGGAGAAGATATTCCGACTCGGCATTGGGAAGAACTTCCCAACCATAAGACCTGTTTGGGAAAGGAATGGGCTGCTGCTGCTGTCTGGGAGTTCATTGGCATCACCTTCTCTGGAGGTTTCTGAATTGAGGCTAGATGTGCATCTGTTGGGGGTGCTTTAATCATATCAAAGAGCAATGAATTCAAACTACAGGGGGGGGAAAGGGGATTCTACCTGAACATAAGGAAGAACTTCCTGACTGGGAGAGAGAGAGAGAGAGCTGTTCAGCATGGGAACTCTCTTTTTCTCCATCCAAGTGTGGTGGAGGCTCCTTCTTTGGAGGCTTTGAAGCAGAGGCTGGGTGGCCATCTATCGGGGGTGCTTTAAAGGCAGAATGGGGTTGGACTAAATGGCCCACAAGGTCTCTTCCAACTCTAGGATTCAATGTGTGCACCAGCCTGAAAGAAGAGGTTGGACTGGATGGCCTTTGGGGTCCCTTCCAACTCTAGGATTCTAGAATCTACTCCCCAAGATATGCTCTGGAAGAGGAATCCCCTCCCTTCCAGGTGCACAAACCACCAGCCATGCTTCAACTGAGCACAAACACAAAATGCACAAATGCCGGGACAGAAGTGTGAGCCTTGCAAGGCCAAGCAAAGCCTGCCTGCCTACCTTGATGGTGCTGAGGTCCATGGGGTGCTTGATGATCTCATGGTAGTCGTGGAGGCCCAGGGCGGAGGCGTCCACCGGCTTGTAGAAAGGCCAGGCGTAGGCGGCGTGCTTCTTGGAGACCAGCTCCTTGAGGATGCCGTTGCAGTACTTGAGCTGCTCCGAGAGCTTGCCCCGCTTGGAGGTCTGGTGCTGCTGGGAGTCCGGCAGGTCCTTGCGGGGGGGCTTGATGGGGCGCCCGCTCTCCCGCCGCGCTGGGATCTTGGCCGCCTTGCCCCCCTCCGCCAGTGGGGAAGGGGCCCCCGCACCCAGTGGGGAGGACTCTCCAACGCCAATGCCAACACCAACGCCCCCTCCTCCTCCTCCGCTGATGCCCCCTCCTCCGCCGCTGGTGGCAATGATGGCCGTCGGGGTCGGGGTGGTGGTGTCCGCTTTCCGCTTCACGCCCTTCTTCTGCAGGAGGAACAGCAGGAGGCTCAAAGGAGGCCCAATGGACAGGGTGGGCACCCATCCCCTATTTCAGAGCTAGAAAGCTTTTGCCTTTTACATCGATCCGGGCACGGTGAAGACTATGACATTGGTAGGTCAGGCTTGAATCCCCACTGCGACATACTGGCCGACTCAGAGTAAGGCACACGCCCTTAGAGGAAGGCAGGAGCAAACCCTCTCAAACCATCAAACCTTACCAAGAAAATCCCCACCATCAACTCCCTTAGAGACAGGCAGGGGCAAACTTCGGCCTTCCCTCCCGGTGTTTTATAATATTTATCGTAAGAATACATCTTATTTATATCCCGCTTTTCTCCCTCACAGGACCCAAAGCGGCTTACAACATATTAAAACCATGTCCATATACATAGATAAGAAGTATAAAACATCATAAACCAACAATATGCATTCACATTCTTGTGGTATCATGTCAGATTATATTGCAATTTGTTCCAGTCCACAACATTATGGCGTTTCTTATCACTCCAGCTCAGCATCCTTCACTAAAGGCTTGTCTAAACAATAAAGTTTTTTTATTGGTACTTGAAAGAAGAAAGGGAGGGGGAGAATTGTTTTAATTTCTTTTGGGAAGGTGTGTTTTGGATTTCAACTCTTACCATTCCCAACAATTGTTGGGAATTGTGGGAGTTGAAGTCCAAAACACCTGGAGGGTCAAAGTTTACCCATGCCAGCTTTAAGTTCTCCAGAAGTCAAAAATGGCTTGAAAGCCCAAAACAAAGCGTGGTAGAATGGGGTTGGATTGGATGTCTCTTGTGGTCTCTTCCACTAACTATGAATCCATGATTACTTTTCTTCCAAAGCAGAGACACTCAGGCTCAAGCGCCTGGTGCTGCAACTGAAGTCTCCCTCCTAGTTCTGGGCCTTCAGGAATACCTGGACTTCTCCGTAAAGAGGTTCCTCCCTGCTGGGACCCTACGCTCCCAACTCTTAAGATTCCAAAGCCACTTACTTTGGCCAGGGGCTGCGTGGGGGCAGGGACGGACAGCAGGGGCTGGGAGGAAGCAGCAGCAGTGTGGAGGGGTTTCAGTGCGGAGATGACCGACGGGTGTGGGATGTTGATGACTGTGGTGGGGATGTCTGCGGCGCTGGCAACAGGGGTGGCCGGGAGGAGCTGCGTCTGGGACACCGAAGAGACGGCCGGGACTTGCTGGGCGTTGGTGGCTGCTAGGAGCGCTGGGGAAACAGAGGCAGCCCTGCTCAGTGGGGGGAGCCCAGGCCATCCACCTCCTTGCTCCCCACTTCCAGCCCTGCGGCCATTACCTGCCGCCCGGGAGGCCCCCTTCTTGTGGCTGTTCTTGGCCACAGTCACCACCACTTCCTGCTCCTCCTGAGGCATCTGAGCCACCTTCTGCAGGAAGATCTTCTCCAAGGTTTGGGCCATCAGCACAATGTCATCTGTGGGCTGCAAGAAAGGAAAGGGCATCAGAGGAGGCCTCTGGGGCAACAGGAGGGCAGAAAGAAGGCAAAGCAGTAGCCACCACACAATAATGCCGAGGAAGATGCCAGTGCCACATGGCGATGGAGCGCCAGACAAGGATTCAGGGAGACCAGGGCTCAATCCCCACGCAGCCCTGGAAACACCCCAGGGGCCTCAGGGACATCACCCTTCTTCCTCAGCCTTAGAGGAAGGGCTCCTCCAAAGAAACACGGCCAGCAAAAGGCAGGCTAATTTAACTGGGACGGAAGGGAATGGAGGCGTGGGGGAGAGAGGGGCTAAGTCAATGTTAAAGCATATAAGGCAATCCCCGAGTTACAAACACCTACAAACAGCTCCTAGTTAATAACAGGGCTGAGACAACAGGAAGTGAGGAAAATCTGCCCCTAAGAAGGGAAATTCCCCCTGGAAGCTATATTAATATTAACAGTATAATTAGCCTCTCCTGACTGCTTGAGGAGAGATGCAACAAATTAAAAAACAAACAAACACCAAAAAACAACAAATTGCTAAATTTCATAGCTACAGAATTGACATCTAGTGGTAACAGAATGCAAATCAGAACTCATGACTGAAAATGGACTGGGTAGGACTGCTGAAAGAAAGGGGCCTCCAGTTGTGTTTTAAATTCCAAGACCTCATTTAACTATTGGATCTCCCCTTAAGAACCAACTGAAAGAACCTATCTTGTTTGTAACTTGGGCACTGCCTGTAACACCCAAGCACCAGTTCAATCTAACTAGTGGGAAGACTTGCTTGACTCTAACCACTAACAGAATGGATGGGTGTCTTTCAGCAGAGCTTTCTCTTTGTGGCAGGGGGTGGACTACATGGCCCTGGGGTCCCCTTCCAAGACCTTGATTCCACTATGCTCTATTCAGCACCGTTCTTCCCTGCTCCTCCAGCCTTCCTCCCACTCTCCCCAGGGACCCAGCCGCCTCTCCTCCTCGCACCCTCCACATGAACTTGTATATTCAGGAAGTAGGGTTCTGCCACCCCCACCCCCATAAATTGCTTCTGCCAAGGCAAGGGGCTCCTCACCTTGTTGTAGATGTAACAATTGGTGAACATGGTGTTGAAGTCCTGCATGCACTCAGCTGAGCTCCAGTAGTAGTTGTTCTCCAGGCGCCGCTTGATGGTGCCCATGTCCATCGGCTGCTTGATGATCTTGTGGTAATCCTGGGGGAGAAGGGAAGGGGGCCATGAGTTGGATGGACAGCCAGCTGCCCCCACGGCCACCTTCCTCAATAGAGACACAGCCAGGGTCACAAGCTGGTCCAATGCCTGGAGCTCTATTAGGCCAAGGCCACAATATTTGGGGGGGGGGGGTGTAGGGATGCATACTGTGCCCCAAAAGCCTTCTTTGCATCCCACAATCAATTACCCCAGAGGACGTGCTCAGAGAGGGTTCCCTTCTGCTTGCTTGGTCCCGTTGCTCCTTCCTGGGGGAGGCTCAGGGCCTAGGCCCCAAAGGAGGAGCTGCCCAGAGGAGGACTGCACTGAAAAGCCTTATCTGCCCTGCTTGGCACCCTCCGGGAGCCGGGCAAAGAGAGACCTGACTGGACCGTGTATTTGCTCAATGTTACCTCTGGGCTTTAACTCCTTAGGTGCCACAGGCGCTGGCCTTTAATTTGGGGGCCACTTGATGTCTTCTACAAAGTCATGGATGGGAATCTGCAAAACGCATTCAGGGGACAAGAGATTAGATCAAGGGGGCGGCGGCATGATAGTGCTCAAGCGGCTGCATCGTCTCATCCATACCTTTGTAGGGGGCATCAGGGAGGACCAAAGGCAGGAAGGAAGGAAGGAATGCTTTTGCGGGTGGGGGACAGGTGAAGGGGAGCCAAAGCCAATAGGGCTTGGAGGCAGGCCCAGGACAACCACAGCACTGTCTGCTGCTCCCCAGGACTCAGACAGAGGAGCCAAGGATCCCCCAAGGAACAGGAGCGGAAGGCCTCTTCCACCCCAAGGAGCACAGGAGCCTCCCCCAACCCTCAAAAAGTACCTCAACGTACAGCCCAGACATGCTGCATGTGCACATTCCATGTGTACACCCCCCCCCCCCCCCCCCCCCCCCCCCCCACCATCCCTCCAAAAGGCAAAAGAGACCCATTACCGGCAGGCCCAGCTTGATGGCGTCCACGGGCTGGCGGAAGGGCCAAGCGAACTGGTGCTTCCACAGAGCCTTCATGACCACCTTGTGGAGGTACTGCAACTGGTTGGTGACCCGGCCAGGCTTCTTGGGGTTGGCCACCTCTGGGGGGGTCGGGATGGCCGGGCTGAGTGGGAGGGACGGTGCCGAAGCAGCCATATTCGGTGGGCCCTCAAAACCCTCGTAGAGCAGCGACGGCTTGCGGATCCGCTTCCCCGGAGGCGCAGACTCAACTGCCAGGCCCACCAAGGTGGCATTGCCCTCCCCCAGGGTCCTGCAAGACAAGGATAATAGACACTAGCCTCAAAGCCCCAGGTGACCAATTCAATCGGCTGCAACAGCTTCTGACACAGAGAAAGTGGTTGCCATACAGCCGGCTAAAGAAAGCACAACATCTGCGCGCAGTCCAGCAAAGGAAGGTATGAGTTGCAAGGAACTCCTGCAGCCCCCAGTGAAWGCTCCCCTTGACCTGAGAACTTCTGCAACCTCCCAGTCACATCACARTGCTGCCGGTTACTGCTCTGCTGCCGGGCCACTTCACAGGAAGCCTACACACAACCCCCTTCCCTGCCCACCTTCAGAACCTGGCTGTTGGAGGGGGGGGGGGTCCTTGGGAGAGGAGTGGAGCTAACAGAGAGGGGAAAAGAGGATGCCAAACCAACCTGACAGCTTTGCCCATAGGAAAAGGAAGGGCTGGCGGAGACCCAACCAATGCAGCTATGCACAAGGAAATTATAAGCTGATCAACCCTCCCAGCAGCAAGGCAGCTTCAAATGGGAATGGGGAGACATTGCACAATTCAACGCAACAGCAGCAGCCCTAAGGACACAAAWGACACAGCAATACTCAAGCACCACCCACCTCCCTAGGGGACAGGGTGGTATGTGTGGGGGCGGGGGGGGGGGGAGAGAAGCCACATCACCTGTCTTTTACCCCACTGGTTCTCAARCTGTGGGTCCCCAGATGTTATCGCCTTCAACTCCCAGAAATCCTAACAGCTGGTAAAGTGACTGCAATTTCTGGGAGTTGTAGGCCAAAAACACCTGGGGACCCACAGATTGAGAACCACTGCTTTACCCCATAGCGAGCCACTCTCCAGACCCACATTCTAGAAATAAAGACTGGAAATGCCTTGACTACACATATCCTCAAGGCCACACAGGGATACCCAAGCCATGCTGCCTTCCGAGTGTCACTGAAAATGTGTCAGGGGAGCCAATGCGGAAACAACCGGGGTCTGCACCTCAGAGGTCAAGAAAGGAAGCCACAAAAAGCAAACTCTATTGAAATAATACCATACAGTTGCACTGGAAGGCCTAGAAAAGGCCCAGAGAGGGCCTACGTGGTTGGGAGGTGAATGAAGAAAGCCACAAATCCATCCCACAACTGAAGGAGAGTGGGCGCCAAGGCAAGAGAACCCTGAGCACATCCTCCTCCCACAGCAGGCCTTTCACAAGGAGGCATTCCCAGGAAGCCCAAAAGACACCAGGAGGGACGACAGGGGCTTCTCCACCAGGACAAGAAGCACCAACGCTGACTTTGCCAGGGATTGGAACGGCCCTTGTGCCCACCATCCCCGGCCCTCCCGACGTATCTCCACCAGTGGGAGGGACAACAGGTAGAATAAAACTATGGAATCCTAGGGCTTGAAGGGATCCTTACGATCCTTCCAGTCCAACCTCCTTTGGCCAGGCAGGGAGATACAATCCAAGCCCTCATGACAGATGGCCACCCAGCCTCTGCTTTAAAACCTTGACAGACATTGAGGCAGCAGCATATTCTTCTTTCTTATGGTCAGGGTGTTCTTCTCATAATTTAGAACCTAACTATTTTCCTGCAATTTGAATCCACAGCAGCAGAAAACAAGCCTGCCCTCCTTCCAAATACAGGGCGTCCCCAAAATTTCCATGCATAAGGAAAAATAACACAGCCATAGTATATGATCATGTTGTGGCCTGCAAGGACCCCTGATTGTAAAACCTGCGGCTTACATGGAAAGATTAGAAACATTTGATGTGAAATTCCCAAACAACAGGTGTTGTTGGGAAGTTTGGAAAAAGGTGGCCAACACACAGCGTTTTAAAAAGTGAAAGTAAGTTTAGTTATAATTCCCCACTATCCTTTTGTGTGGTGAATTTTGGGGCACCCTGTTACCTAAACATGGCTCTCACCCCACCCACCCACCCACCCAAACAGGTCCACAACTGGACACAGAAAGGGTGGGGGGGGGGGCATAACTCCCTTGGATTCAATTTATTACTACAATTCTACCCTGCCTTTCTCGATCCTGGAGAGTMCCAGGTGTTTTGAACTTCACCTCCCAGAATCATTGGGCAAAGTAGTGGAGGCTTCTGGGAGCTGAAGTCCAAAACAACCAGAACCTGGGCACTGCTATGGATGCAACCTGGAATGGCATTGGCCTTCTGAGCTGCCACATCCCACTGCTGGGCTCCAAGGGGGCGAGGCAGGGCAGGTGTGCTCTCCTGAGCAGCAAGGACAACCACTTGGGGACTGCATGTAGTACCTGCTAACATTGGCTAGTTAGTGGTGTCAGAGTGAGCTACTACAGGCAGTCCCCAAGTTACAAGCAAGAGAGGTTCTGCAGGTCTGTTCTTAAACTGAATATGTTTGTAAGTTGGAACAGGGAGATCTTTTTAGTGTTTGGATAGCAAAGGAAAGAGTCAACAGCCCTGCAGGGTTTGTTTTACTGTCTGCACCTCTGTTCAGATTTCCCCTCCCTTTCTGTCTATTGTGTACGAAACTATGTTTATATCATTCAAGTACACAACCAACCCATCTTTGTGAACTTTAGTTGGCTATTGTAAATTAATGTGGATGCTTGTTTATATTATATAATTTTGTTTGACTACCTGTAGTTTAATTTATGGCTGTTAGGCTTTAATTTGAGATTAGATTTTGAGATTATTTTCATGTTTGTTTTACAAAGGCATGGAATGTTTGCTGTTGTTACATTGGAATCTGCCGTGAGACAAACCAAGGGTTATTATTATTATGTTATCTTGCTTTATTAACTAATGTGTGATTATGTTTGGTTATATCATTTATTGTACTTGTTTGTTTGGTTATATATGGACCATGGCTCTATGGGAAGATGGGGCAGGGTGTAAATAAAGATTTGTTTATTTATTTATGGCGCCCCTCTCACCCTGAAGGGGACTCAAGAGTGGCTTACAAGTAATATGTAAATACATTACATTATATTATTACTATAGCATAACGTTAGTATTATATTGTTTTACATTATAATATTATCAATATTCTATGCATATGCAATATATTATATTATAATTATGTCCTTCCAAATAACATGTAAATACAATATATTATAACCATAGCACAATATTAGTATTATATCTTACTATGTTGTAGTATACCATTATAGTGTAATATTAGTAATATGGAATACATATTTATAATATCATATTATTAGTATTATATCATTTTACATTATCAATATTATATGTAAATACAATATATTATTACCACAGCAGAATATTAGTATTTTAAATTACTATATTGCACTACACCATAATGTAGCATTATTAGCAATATTACATTACATGTAATATTAAATATATAACTATAATATCATATTATTACTATTATATCATTTTGCATTTTATTATCAATATTATATGTAAATACATTATATTATTACCACAGCACAATATTAGTATTTTAAATTACTATATTGCACTATACCATTATACTGTAGCATTATCAGTAATATTACATGCAATATAAAAATATAACTATAATATCATAGTATTAGTAGTATTATATCATTTTTCAATATATTATCAATATTTTATGCCAATACAATATATACCATAGCACAATATTAGTATTATATATTACTACGTTGTACTATACCATTATACTGTTCATTATTAGTAATATATCATTTCACATTATATTATCAACATTATATGTAAATACAATATATTACCATAGCACAATATTAGTATTATATTGTATTACCTTAAAATATTATTAATATATGTAAATACAATATATATTACCGTAGCACTATATTAGTATTTTAAATTACTATATTGCACTATACCATTATACTTACCATTATTAGTAATATTACATGTAATGTAAAATATATAACTATAATATTATTAGTAGTAGTATTACATCATTTTACATTATATTATCAATACTATATGTAAATACAATATATTGTATTATTATGACAGCACTATATTGCACTATACCATTATACTGTAGTATTATTAGTAATATTACACGTAATATAAAATATATAATTATCATATTGTATTATTAGTAGTATTATATTGTATTAAAATATTATCAATATTATATGCAAATACAATATATTATATTATTACCATAGCACAATATTAGTATTATATTGTATTGCCTTAAAATATTATCAATATTATATGTAAATACAATATATATTACCATAGCACAATATTATTATGTATTACTATATTGTAGTATACCATTATACTGTAGTATTATTAGTAATATTACATGTAATAAAATATATATATATAACTATATCATATTATTATTAGTATATCATTTTACATTGTATTTTCAATATTACATGTAAATACATTACATTACAACCATAGCACAATATTAGTATCATATTGTTTTACATTATATTATATGTAAATATATTAAATTGCTGTAGCACAATATTAGTATTATATATTACTATATCGCACTATACCATTATACTGTACCATTATTAGTAATATTACATCATTTTACATATTATCAATATTATATGTAACTACAATATATTATATTATTATGACAGCACAATATTAGTATTATAAATTACTATATTGCACTATATCATTACACTGTAGTATTATTACTATTATTACATGTAATATAAATATATAACTATAATATTGTATTATTATTAGTATTATATCATTTTATTATCAATATTATATGTAAATACAATATATTACCATAACATAATATTAGTATTATATTATTTTACATTATATTATCAATATATGTAAATACAATATATATTACCATAGCACAATAGTAGTATTCTTTATTACTATATTGCACTATACCATTATACTGTACCATATTAGTAATATTACATTATTACCGTAGCACAATATTAGTATTATATTGTTTTACATTGTAATATTACCAAAATTATATGTAAATACAATGTATTATATTACCACAGCACAATATTAGTATTATAAATTACTATATTGCACTATACCATTATACTGTAGTATT